GTGTATAGGATTTCTCTCTTCTTGTTAAAAAGGTGGTTGTCGTATAAAAGAGTGCTTTGATTATAATTATGCTATAGACTCAGCTTGTGCTTCAATATTCGAAAGCAAGAGGTGTGCGACCAATGGATATCAATGTGTTTTACGAAAAGCTTGCGAAGATGTTAATGTCATAGATGGTTGTACTTTTGATATCAATCTCAATCTTTGCGTTTGGATTAATGACAAATGTTTTACAAAAACATGTGAAACTGCTTCTACTTCTCTTACAACACATCAGATGTGCAATGCATATTTTCCAATTTGCACAGCTAAAGAGGGAGGAGGATGTACTAAGAGACAAAGTTGTCAGAATTACTAAATAAGGGAAGCTTGTTATACTGATAGTGAAAATATAGAATGCATTTGGGATGATAATCTAAATTAATGTTTTTCCAATCAATGCATAGATTTTTGTGGGGATGGTATTGTATCAAGTAAAGAAGAAGAATGCGACGATGGCAATTATTTGCCCTACGATGGTTGTTATAAATGCCAAGTGTAATGTCCATAAGGGTGTAATGTTTGTAATGGTTCTACATGCTAAGATTGTCATATGAAGGGGTGGGTATTGATTAATGGGATTTGTAAATCAATATGTGGGGATGGTTATATAGTAGGAAACGAATTCTGTGATGATGGAAATTAGATTTAATATGATGGATGTTATTAATGCTCCTATTCTTGTCACTAAAAATGTTTAATTGTTTCTAAGGATTATGTTTACTTTGTGAGAAAGGATACATAGAAGATTAATCATAATGTCATAATGTTTGCGGGGATGGTTTTCTTGTCCAACAAATAGAATAATGTGATGATGGAAATAATTAGAATAATGATGGATGTAGTGACGTTTGTAAAGTTGAGAGCGATTGGAAATGCTAATAGGAAAATAATATCAGTGTATGTAACTATAGTATTAGACCTAAAATTATACTTGCTAGGCTCACAAAAACAAACTAAGATATTCAAGAATTTGAATTATCATTTAGTGAGCAAGTACGTTTGAACATTAATAACATTAGTGATGAACAATTTCTTTAGATGATTGTTATTGTTATCGAAAATGCTAAAGATAATGAATATGATATTGAAATCAAACCCAAGATATCAATTACTTCTATAATGACCGATGTATCATATAAGATATTCGTCTATTTTAAAAGTAATATTTCAAATCCTGTGCTAAAAGTAACACTAAGATGTGAGAATATTGTAAATGTTTAAGATAATACTTTATTCTCTAAAGAAGCAAAGTTAGTTTTATCATCTCCAAACAAAATGTCAAATGAGCATCAATCCCTTATTTTTAAAACAGCTCTTCTCAGTCGAATTGTTATGTATATCATCTTGATTGTAAGTGGTATAGCTTTTTTGGCTGGCAATTTAGAAATTTTATGGAATCTCCTTGATATGCTTTAATAATTATCATATTTGAAATTCCACAACCTACAATTTCCAGAAAATTTGCAAGTCTATTTTGAGATATTTACTATTAGTTCTTTTGCTCCAATAATAAACAGTTTATAAACAGATGTTTATTTACAGGATTTATTTGATTTCGAAATTCCAATCATACCAGCTAAATGGAAATTTGAATACTATTAAATCAATTGCTATTTTTTGTACAACCTGTAAACACTAGTCACTGTAATTATAATTGGATTTGTTTATTTTTTTGTCTCATATTTCTTCTATAAATTCCTTGTACGTATTAGGTACTAAAATTGGCCAGCTATTTTTCATAAGAGGTAATCATAAGGTCTCTTTAAACTTGTCAGAGTGATATTTTCCTTCTAAAGGTTAGCCAGAAAATAATATCAATATTTCATTTATTCTGGATTAATCAGAATTTTTACTTCTAATTTTTATGATATAACCTTTGCATCTATTTTATAAATTGTCAATTACAATACTGATACTACTTTAAGTGGAACCATCTCTTTAATAGCATTAATTACACTATAAGTGAACCTATTCTTGATAGCAGTTTTTTTTTCTTATTTAGCAAAAAAAGGAAAAGTCCCGAAGACATTATCAGTATTAGTGGAAGGAATTAATAATAATTGTAAATAAGGAACTAAATAATATTTTACTCTATTGCTGATTAAAAAAACTATTTTCATTATTAATTTAGTTGTGTTTTAAGAACTTCTGGCTGCTTAGAGTTTAATTACAGCTTGTATATCAGGAGCATTTTCTTGTTATATTTTATATTTATAAGCCTTTTGAGAATAATTATGAAAATATTAAAATATTCATCACAGAAATTCTGGTTATGGTTAATGTAATACTCTTTTCCGTTTATGATATTATTAAATTTGATTAAAACAAGAACTCAGCTGAACTTTTAGGTTGGATTAATGTAGGTGGTTTCACGTTAATACTTTTTTTCACTTTAGCTATTGATGTCTATCAATAATTAACAAAATATGTAGGAGAATGTAGAAAGAGCCTTAGAATCAAGTAGAATTAAAACTTAAATAAAAAACACCTAATTTTTTAGGCTTTTTGATTATCATATTAATTTTTAATTTGTTTATTTTATTAATTCTATAGTTTATAATTTAAATAATTCTTTATTGAGAAATTTCAACAATTTTTTTTATTATGAGATAGCTAAAATTTTTAACACCATAGCTTAATCTTGATTTATTTTGCCTATAATGTTCAGTTCAAATTTAACCTATGATTAATCAAAATGTGTACCTTTATTATTACATGCATTTTCTTTTCATTTAATATGTTGCCTTCCTTGCAATATTTAAATGGGGAATCCTAATTTAAAAAATATTAATTACTAGAACTCAATGCAAAAACCACCTTTATTATAATATGCATTTGATTGGATCAATTGCTAAAACTTTCTTTGATTTAATCTAAGAAATATACCTGAGATAACTGTATTCCTAAGGCAAAACCAAAGATTCCAAGGAAATGCAGAAAAATTATATTTAAACTATAGAATAAAGAGACGCTTCAGCTCATTCTATTGTATCCAATGAAAATAAGTTTTATTTATTGAAGTTTGATAATAATAAGTAATATGCATGTATTCAAGCAATCTATTGAAATATCAAAACATTTGATGATGGAGTTAGAAATTTCAACAAATCGAACTATTCCTTGGTTGAAGTTTTTTGAATGACTTACAAAGAAGTTTATTAATTTACACAATTTTTTGATAAACTAATTTATATTGGATTTTGTTAACTAATTTTAATCTCATCTGGCATTTTGATTCAAAATAAATGAGAAGATCTGTGATTTATTTACAAATTTTTGATAAATCATAATATTAAGGAATAAGTATATTATACCACAGAAAGAATTTATTAAAAACAATCCTTTATCCATTAATTAGAGTCTCTAAGATTTTAGAATGATTAATGATGCTCCCATAATAATATATTTGAGCCACTTGTGGTTGACATCCATTTTCAGTCCAAGTTCTTTAGGAATTTTTTTTCCGACCAACAAGTTAGAAAAATTATATAAGGAGGATAGAAATCCTAAAATGCTAGTACTCCAATTTATTTTGATAGAACTTCAGAATATATAAATTATATCATAAAAGCATTAATGAAAAAAAGTATTATTTTAAATGTTCATCAAATAGATAGTTTTATTTTTAGTAAAAAAGATTCTCATACAAGAATTGTAATGTAGCAGTATAAGAAATTCAACAAAAATATTCATTTAGACCACAAAAATTAGGTCGAGGAACTATTCTTCATCAAATTTTTAACTCAAATTTGCATTAAAACACTAAGTAACTAAAATAACAATTTGATGAATATTTAAGTTTCTTCAATGTGTCTTGGCTCATACTTAAGACCTCCCCTATTTGAAATTACCCTGCTTTTACTACTTAATTGAAATTGAAAGTTAAAATGTTATAATCTTATAAAAAGCTTTCACACTCTTGCTATCGCTCTGCTAGTTTGGAAAAAGAGGAAAAAGGCTCTGAAACCTTAGTGCATTAAATTATTAAATGAAACAATTTACTAATCCGTTTATGTTGATCATCAAAATGACTAATTGTTTTTTTGGTAATTAATTTATACTATATACTTAATGCTACCATTTAGAGTATCGGATGGCTAGTTTTAGGAATACAATTTAATGTAAATCTTTCTTACAAGCCATAAATAGTTATGTAATTTCTAGCCTTCATTAGGCCTAAGAATTATATGAATAATTTTCTTTGCTAAAGTTTATTTTGACATAAGAGGAATTCGTAACTAGCAAGGCACTTATGTTAGGAAATTTAATGTTCTACTGACTTAAACGAAATTTTGAATCTTACTGAGAGGAGGGTACCAAAGCTAGCTTCTCTTGTTTTCTCTTTTACTTATAATTATTTTAATATTAAAGATAAATATATTAACCAATAATTAGTTTTAAACATTCTGAACTAAAATTAAATGAAAATTTGGTTGAGTTAGCCTTAATCCAGAAAGTTATCACTTTTAAAAGGAATTAAAATCATTATAATCAATAATTAATTCAAATAAGGGTGCATCAAGCTCATAATAATTTTGTAACAACTCCAATTATTGAAGAGTCAAGGATTACAACAATTATTTCGTTATTGTGTATTTGGCACATATTTGTTTGGCCCTCTAAATTTTGATTAACTGATGAATTCATCTTTTATTATTTTTTATACATCATAATTTCCTTCTTTATCATTTAAACATCTGAGTTCTATTAAAATACAATTTTATATGCAGTAAAAAACAAAATAAAACAGCTATTATATTTTCCCATTAATTGAAGAATAAAGAATATTTTTAACTACCATGCTATTATAAATATCAAGGATTCTTTGAAGGTTGATTCTGAAGATGCAAGTTAATTTAATACAAAGCTTTATAAAACATAAAATTATTATTATTGACGTTATTCTGTTTAAAAAAATATTCAGAGAAAAATAAAAAAATTTATATCATTTGCATTCTTAAATTAATTTTACAACCCATTGCAGATTATTAAACTAAATTAGGCGGCGATTAATTGTAAATTACTATTTTATATTGAATTTTCATGATGGATATAAACTTTTGGAGGGATTGAATTTGTGAGTTTGGCTGGATATATTGGAGAAGAATATTATCATAATTTCCCTTCTAGATGATTTAGAGTCCTGATAATTTAGTGATAGGAGACATGCTGTATCGAAGTTTTTTAAAGCTAATAGTTTAATTTTCAATTCATTCATGCTCACAAAAGGCTCCTTCTTGACTCCCTATGTATCTCCTAAAATATGTCTAACAGAGGCTTTGGTCAAATTAGGATAATTAGTTTATCAATTATCTTTTTAAAAATTTGCTGAGATCATAACCTATCTTAAATTATAAAGTGTGCCCCCCAATAAGATTGTCATTCTAAGGAGTTTAATAGAAATTAGACTTACCACTAGGGACAAACCCGCAGTTCGAAGTTGAACAGATTTGCTTTAACTATTATATCAAATGTATTACACAATCTTATTGGGATTCAATCATACAACCAAATCCACTCAACTTTAGCTGGATTAAAGAATTAAGTTCCTTTTAAATAGAAAATGTGTGTAAGAAAATGCAGGTGAATGCTGTTGTGCTAAACAAAATTTACAGTGTTCAATAATAACCAAAAATTGCTCAGTTATATTTGGAAAATCCTGCAAAATGAATTCCAATTGAATAAGACAATAATTCTTTCAAATTTGCTCAGTTCATCACACCTGCTTTGGATTTGAAAATTTCTCTGATGCCTATGATATCGGAAGTCGCTTTGAAACCAAATAAAAGACATATCATTCCATAAATTATTATTTGACTATACAAGTTGTTGATTATTTTTAAAAAGTGCTTCAATAGATTTTTCATTTATGCCATTATTTTCTTTGTTTATTGAGCATGTAGGAAAGAAATTTGAAATGAAGAATAACATCTGTCTTGAAATTTAACAAGAGCCTCATAGTTTTGGATTATTGCAAGAAAGACCCACAATCTCACTGCCATCTGTTTTTCTTCGTAATTCCAAAGAGTTCTTACTAGAATGCTTTCAAGAACTGGATAGGTTCAAAATTCAGTAAGTGAAGTTCATCAATTATCACACTTGACTAGAGACAAGATGATGTTGAAGTGATAATTTGCTGATTTTTGCTTTCTTTGCAAGTGTGCTAAGAATCTTCTGTTAGTTCAAAAACATTACTGTCTTAGTTTGGGTAAAATATGGCTAAAATTTCCTGGACAAGACGAAAGCTTTTCAGCTGGATTATGTACTTCTTTTTTGGTGACCTCTAAAGAGTTCTCTGCCATTTGCACCTTGAAAAATTTGTGAAATCATTCAAGTCAACAATTGCAATTTACATCCAAAAATTTCTTTTCCTATCCCTATAGAATAATTGCATCATTCAAGGATAAATACATCTGTGTTTTGTTCACTGTTTATACGATTGGCAAGTTTAACTCTTCGTATGCGATGAAAGTATCGCTGCCACTGATGAGGCTTGTTAAATCACTTAATAAACTTTTAATTATACTAAATTATGAAGTTTAAATAAAAATAATTGTTTAAATAAATCAAAACATTAATACGCAATTTACTTTACTGAATTTAACTTATTTTCATTCTTCGATCTAAAATATCTGAACCATTCAATTCAAAAAATAAATTAATCACAACCAACTATTTACCTTTACTTTTTCTAATTTAACTCTTGGCTTGTGTAATGAAAGGCTATTTTTAAATTATGAACTAATCTGGAGCAGCGAGAACATGATTTAAATTAGTTCATCTAATTCAATCAAATATATTTTCAATCTACATTTGAATTTAATTTACAAGCTTTTCAGCCAAATAAGAAAAACAATTAATTTATGGCTGATAAAAAAGTAATAAAAACTTTTTAAGTAGGGATTTTGTAATTATTCTTATCCGTCATTTTAACAACTCTATAGTTATAATGCCTATATAAAAACCTTAAGGTCGAATTTATTCGTCATAAATGCTGATGCAAATAATTCTCTTATTAAAAGGATAAACAGTTACAACATCCTAAAGTTGTAATATACTCATTATTTTTCTAATTAAGAACTTTATAAATACAACTCTCTTTGCGCATACTTCAATATCATCCCATACCTCCTAAACCTTTCATTTTTCAAACAGCTAACACATTAAATAGAGTTTTCTATTATGAAAAATTACGTTGTTTGAAACTTCCCCTCATTTAGGGTTATTTAGTAGCTAATTGTTATCAGTAAATTTTTGGACAAAATATAAAATCCTTTAACATAATACAACAATTTTAATAAAAATTAAGAAGAATTGAATAAAAATTTTAATTAAGAATTTGAAATAGCAATCTGTTATAGCTTATGAAAACAAAAAGAACCAATTTGAATATTTGTAATTTTATTCTTAGCTTAGTATGAATTAGTTACCTAAATTGATTTGCTTTTAGTGAGAAGTATTTAGAACTGCCATCAAAAATTTTTTGGTAGGGATCTGAATTAGCTTCAAATTACTTAAAGTAAATAGATTTCAATTTATTTAAATTTTTACAAGTCAAACAACTTAATTTGATGAAGTTACTTAACAGATAATTTTTCTGTTACTTACTCTTTGTATATGTTATTAATTTACTAAATAACGAGATAAAAACAAGTCAGAAGGACTGATTTTTCTTTTTTTTTCAAATAGGATGCCACATTTGTTAATATTTCAGCTATTCTTAATTCTTTAATCAAAAGGAATATTTTTTGAATCTACTCGAATTGAAATAAGGTCGAAATTTCAGAGGATTCAAATTCAATTATTATTAAACATATCTTAAGGCTAAAAAATAAAACATAAGAATTGATGATGCATGGTAATTAGACACACACTAGACTTTCATCAGCTTAAATTAAAGCTAAGTTCAAGTTTACTTTCTAATAATAAGAAAACAAAGTTGATGTAAATGTAAATATTGAGCAATACTGAGAATACTAGATTTTATTCTAAATTTATACTTATATAATAATAATAATTTGATGTGAAATAATATGTCATTTCACTGGTTGTTTATGCCTCTTTCTAAAGGGTTCACATTCTGTTTTTATCTGTTTTCGGATCCTCTCCGCTAATTTGTCCGCCATCTCCTGCATGGATTTTTACACCCAAGTGTAGAAGGGTTTGGCAGTGTCTAGGATATGCTATTGAATTTTCTCCAGCTTCTCCAGCCAGTTTACTGCCTCTCCAAATAGATGTTCTTCCATTATGTGCTTAATTGTCATGTTCTATTTATGAGTTATACATTGTCTCGGTTTGGGTTTGGGGTTGGGGTTGGG